TGGGCCAAGGTCGAGGGGAATTGCCAATACTTCTGTGGCGTCGGCACCGAGCAAGGGAAGCTGATGATGGGCAATGGATTTATCCACCAAGAAGGCCAAACTTCCGCCTTTGTTGTGACCGCGGTCGCGACGGACGATCGTGTAGTCGGCACAGAAAGGGACCTTGGTGGAGTTACTCCACTTCGTCTCCCGGATAGCCACTACAGCTATGCTGTGCGAAAGCAAGAATGCGAGGAGCCGGCCAAGATTGCCGAGTTGGCCGTTAGCGTTGAACGGTAGAAGCTAGAGGCTAGGCGGCGTGACCAGGTCAGAGACTTTAGGAATTTGTGGGAAGACAGGAAGGGCAGGAGGCGTAGGAGCACGTAGAGGCACGGGACAACTGGAGCAGGTGAAGGTGGGCGACCAATGGGCAGAGCTGGTAAGGCTACTGCAGCGAAGATGACACCAACCATAGCAGGACCTCAACGTAGAGGATAGTCGCGGTGGCCTAGGCGGACTTGAAAGAGCAGTACCAAGAAGGTCCATGGTTGGCCTCAATTACGATGGCGAGGAAGAGTCGGAGCAGCGTGGCCGGGAGGGGCTCCTCCGTTATCAAAAAAGCAGGTTAATAGGAGGGGAGGGTTGATCCAACGTGGGGAGATAAATGTAGCAGACCTTAGCCGTCGGGAGGCGGGTATTAACGCGACGAAAATGCGTCTGTTGTGGTTCCTGGACGCAGTGGTTGACAGGGCTGGCGAACCCGTCTGCGCGCACCACAACATGACCTGGCCTCCTTGACAAACACAGGACAGTTCGACCGCTGATTTGGACGATGTCCACCAGGACCTTCAACGAGTTGAAGCAACGCGGTGACTTCCGCGAGATATGCAACGAAAACAGACTCGCGGAGCATCTATCGCACTCTCCCACTACTCCCACATCGGGACCCGGTTGTCCAGTCAAAGTCAAGAAGGCCGGAGATGGGGGAGGCCGCAGACAGCTGACGCGACCACCACTAAACACGCGCACAAACAGCACGTTTCAGTGGATAAACTCCCGACTGGGAGCGCCATAAAGCCCACATTAAGGAGTCATTGAGACTAACTCTCAACCCGCAGACAGCCACTCCACACAAAAAGACACACTGGGCCGACTGCGGTGTCCAAGTTATCCCGTCAGCTGGCAACCCTCCAAGCCACGGTCTTTAGCGCACAGCGATAGTTTCAAGTGCATCAGATTGATATTACAGTAGTCGCCGGTTATTAAGCCCACGTTTAATAGGCCCAGCCGCGTATTAAGCCCAAATCAGCTTGGGACGGAACTTTACTGATACTAGACCGATTTTTTTAAACGTGTCGCAAATCATTTTTTTGTTTCTGTTATTAAGTAAAATACAGACAAACAGCATTCTGTTCTTTTACATAACCAAGCTCTACACATAATGCAGTACGTATGTAATGTTTAGTGCCTATCCTGCGTTTGCTAATCAAGAACTGGGACTCTCCGGTTAGTGCGCCCGCCGCTTATTAAACCCAATTTGGTCTGGGCCCGAGGTGGGCTTAGTAACCGGCGACTACTGTAGTGAGGAAAGAAATGCGCTGAAGAGCGACCTCAACCTCTCCCCCCACCACCAGCAAAAGACCACCACCTAACTGATCAGTCGCCTGAGGTGGTATGGGCGCATTTTTAAAGAGGAAAACACACACAGACACGCACACACAAAGCAGGATTTACACAACCGGGAGATTAGAAGAGCCCTCGCCGTCTGACTACCAGTCCACGCATCACCCACTACACTCAAAACACGCACTGGGGTGATGCGTGTCTATCATTCTAAAGAAGAGTACAAAAGCACACCCGGAGAAGACCTTACCTGATGTGGAAGTGTTTCAGGAGCGAAAGACTCGAGTTAATGTTGTGTACCTTCATGAAATTCTGAATCCACGGATTGCCGTCCCTATCGGGGAGAAAAAAACAGCAAATGAATGGGCAAAGCAAACAACCAAGCTGATTTTGTCAACAGGCAGGCAAGGTCCTCCCTTCTACTGCATCTAAACTGGATTTTGGTGAGAAAAGCTTGCACAACACCAACTTCAATCGCTTAGGTCTGACATTTCGGGTAGTTCCTTCGTCTGCCCACCTC